GGGAGAAAGATAGAGCTCGAAGAAATTCGAGACGACGAAGAAACTACCGCGCCGGTTCTGGAACATGAGCTAGAGGAACAAACTGTTGTACCTCAAAATGCTCAAGATACACAAGAACCCCGTAGGTCTAACCGGTTACGCACACAACCTGAAAGGTATGGATTCCTCCTAACCTTTGAGGGTGACGTAATGCTTATCGACCAGGATGAGCCGGAGACCTACCTCGAGGCAATCAGTTGTCCCGAGGCTGAGGAATGGCGTCAAGCCATGCAGTCCGAAATGGATTCCATGTACACCAACCAAGTATGGACTTTGGTTGATGCACCCGAAGGGATCAAACCCATTGGGTGCAAATGGGTCTTCAAAAAGAAGACTGACATGGATGGTAAGGTGCAAACCTTCAAGGCACGATTGGTAGCAAAAGGATATCGTCAAATACATGGTATCGACTATGACGAAACTTTTTCTCCGGTTGTCATGATTAAATCCATTCGGATCTTACTTGCTATCGCAGTATACCATGATTACGAAATCTGGCAGATGGACGTCAAAACGGCTTTCCTTAATGGAAACCTCCTTGAGGATGTCTTCATGACACAACCTGAAGGGTTTTGCGCTCCTGAAGAATCTACCAAGGTATGCAAGTTGCAGCGATCAATCTACGGATTGAAGCAAGCCTCACGGAGTTGGAACATCCGCTTTCACGAAACTGTCATCGGCTTTGGTTTTGAAAGAAATTCAAATGAATCTTGTGTATACAAGAAGGTCAGTGGGAGTGCTGTAGTCTTCCTTGCTCTGTATGTTGATGACATACTGCTCATAGGAAACGATATTCCTACTTTAACCACCGTCAAAACGTGGTTGAGTAAGAGTTTCTCTATAAAGGACTTGGGAGATGCCAGTTAGGCACTTGGCATAAGGATCTATAGGGATAGATCACGGAAGCTGTTAGGTCTCAGTCAAAGTACATACATAGACAAGGTCCTCGCTAGATTCAGCATGTCTGAGTCGAAACGAGGAAGTTTGCCTATGGCCCAAGGCACGAGTCTTTCCAAGACTCAGGGTGCTTCTACTCCGGAGGAAGTAGAACGCATGAGAAATGTTCCTTATGCGTCGGCCATTGGATCCATCATGTATGCGATGGTATGTACGAGACCTGATGTCGCCTTTGCTCTAAGTGTCACGAGTAGATACCAATCCAACCCTGGCGAAAGCCACTGGACGGCTTTGAAGAACATACTTAAATACTTCCGTAGGACTAAGGATGCCTTCCTGGTATATGGCGGAAAAGAAGAGCTCAGTATTGTTGGATATACTGATGCCAGCTTCGAAACTGATAGAGATGACTTTAAGTCGCAGGCAGGGTATGTGTTTTGTTTGAATGGCGGAGCTGTTACCTGGAAGAGTTACAAGCAAGATACTACCGCTGATTCCACTACAGAAGCAGAGTACATGGCTGCAGCCGAGGCAGCCAAGGAAGGTGTGTGGCTCAAGATTTTTATTACTGAGCTTGGAGTGGTTCCTAGCATCAAGAACCCTATACCGTTGTTTTGCGACAACAATGGGGAAATTGCACAAGCGAAATAACCTCGGTCTCACCAGAAGACCAAACACATCGTTAGACGTTATCACATCATACGAGAAATCGTTGCACGTGGGGACGTTGAGATTTGCAAGATAGGTACCGACGACAATATCGCGGATCCATTGACGAAGGCTTTGGGAAAGCCTAAACACGAGAGTCATACGTGGTCCATGGGCATTCGAGAAATGCTTGATTGGCCTTAGGGCAAGTGGGAGATTGTTGTATTTAGGTGCCCTAGAGGCAATCAAATACCTATGTAACTGTACACTTTATCATGAATGAAAGGCCTTGAAGTATGTTTTATATCTCGTGTAACATAACATAGCTTCAGTCCATAGACGATAGCGCTTCAGTAACATAGATGAGGACTACGATGTTCTGATTATGAGACTGTTACTTCTTGACGAAGGCT